CCGTAGAAAAGATCACATGTCAAAAAATATAATATCAAAAAGTAGGCCTTTTTCCTAAATACGGAGGTGTCCCGACTTTAAGTGAAACACACTGTACATATGTACATAGATTCGCGCATTACAGTATTTTGTCGATTTATGAAGGGATCACCAATCCTAGTAATTCAGTATACGCCATTTCATCCATTCTCATATAATTACGCCAATAGTCGGGATCTTCTCTCAAATCCTTCATTAAATTTATATGTGAATGTATATTTCTGCTCAGAAGCCATTTTTTGACCAGTTTGAAGGATGACGTCTATTTATTATTTTTTTTTACTAATGTAAAATAGAAAGAGGCTAATACCAAAAATTCTTCGCTTGGATACATATTCCTGAGAAACGTACTGATTGCTGCCTGCAGTGTCTGCAGCCTGAACGGTCTTACCTGCATCGTGTGGCCACAACACAGTATTCCGTGTTTATTGCGCAAACCATACCGTGCAGGCAAGTCGCTGTCGTGTAGCCGCCGCATTATACAGGCAAGATCAAATGAAAATCCCCAAACCTCAGTGGAGTAGTTGAAGTGGTTATGTAATTAAATAATACTGTTTTTAAAATTGATTGACATTAACTATTGATATTATAACAACGCAGTTTATTATATTATATTATTATTTGAACTAATCAATATTTTTTGACGCTCGAGGGTTAGTTCTGTAGTTATTTTGAAGACGAAAAAAAGTATTTTACTGTTTTCTCGTGGAAACGAACGGAAGAATCAGCCTGTAAATAATCTACCCCCCATTTTTGTGACTGTGGAAACTAATATGTTATTGTACATAATATTTAGCATCTATAGTGATAAATTCAGCTTGCTGAAACAAAAAGTCGCGCCCAATTCCTGGCCTATGTTATCAATTAACATAAATTCAACGGAATATGGTTTGTACACATTTTGAATTAAATTGGTCATATAAAATCGTAGATCTTGTTATAAAATATACTATTTTCCGTTTTTATGGCTATGAGCTACATTGCGATGAAAAATAAGGAACAAATTTTAACTTTATGATAGAAATAGTTTCAGTGGAGGAAGGTGTAATTATGCCGAATATACCAGCAGTGTAAACAAAGGATCACGATATTCATACATAAATATCGAGTATTTTGGGAATAGGTTTAATAATACAAATTCTCTCGCGTTGTGCTGTCAGAAATAAATACTTCACAAAGCAATAAATAAACCTCACACACGATCAGTGTTTGCGCGATTATTTTTTTAAGTACGCCTTACCATTTGAGAAAGATAGGTTATGGGCATTATTCAAGTGACGCTCGTGACCCCGCGATAAATAATTCCACCAGCACGCTTTCGTGGCAACGACCACCCAAAAATTTCGTAACGCGGATTAATAATAGAAGCAGGTAATTAATACGCCAAAATGACAGAAATAGTGTCATTTGCGTAACATTCCCCCACGTGCAAAGAAAGTTGCACTTTTGAAAACCACCGAACGGTTGTCGAAGCCGAGAGGCGTACAGGTGTTCCAACTGAAAATCACCGGGAGTAGTTAACGTCACGCGCCGTACAGATAAAAATAGGATTGTTTGGCACTGTTGCGAGAAACCTGCCAGTTGAACTTTTACTGCTCATTGGTTACGAACTCGACTTCATAACTCAAGGAATAAACAAAATTATGATTTAATTCCAGTGCGCTCCGGTGTCCGAAAGCGTGAAGAATTCTCAACGTCTTATTTTTAGTTGTCGCGAACGTATTGGCAGCTCTAATTGTTTATTCTAGTGCATGTGTCTGGATTAAATTTAACTCGACTCAAACAGGTAGGAAATAAATCGATCACCTGATTTTTTTAATTGGTCAACTACTCGATACGAAAATGCCGTACTATTCCGAACTTGGCTTAAGCATCCCCTCGAGTAGTGCGTATTCCTCTCTCTTCCTAAGCGGGCCTTACTCAAATCATTCCTCTATAATCGCCTCCAATTTAGCCGCCCCAAAATCCATACCCCGTCAATACAGGGGCGTGTACAAACCACATCTTTCTACCATCACGGAACTGAACACTCCTAGAAGGGTGAGTTCCCCGAAACTGCTCTATCAAGGTACCCCTTCAAGCGTTCGACCCATTAAGAAAATCAACACAGCGGATATAGACGTGTCAGTGAATAGATACAAGAAGTTTGATAAATATGACCGCTCCAAACCGGAAGTTGTAGAAAAGAAAACCCCGGACAAACCTCCCAGTCCCGCGAGAAGTCCTAGGCAATCCGTTGAAGAAAAAGACCAGAAACCTGCTAAACCAAACACCACCATAAGAAGGGACAGACCTACAGTTCGTCTACAAACTGTCCACAGGGATACCCTACAACAGGAGATCGGAGAGATTAGAAGTTGGAGAGATAACTTCAAACCTGAAGAACTAGGTGTCGAAGCGAAAAGAAGGAAAAAGTCCCCAGGCGAAATCCTGAAGGAAAAGTTCCTGATCCGCAGCAGAAGCAAAGAGAACATCCTCAAACCGGAATCCAAGAAAATCACCAGGAAAAATTCAGTGAGGAAGTCCCCCAGCTTTCAAGAGATATGTGAAGCCATAACCTCGGACAACCTAGAGGAAGACCTTAACCCTGGCCAACCGGAAGAAGTACAAAGAAGACAGAGCAGACAAATTTCAAGCGAGAACATCCTGAAACAGATACGAAGAAACTCCACCGACTTATCAGAGGAAGACCTGAAGATCCTTGATGCCATTTTATCAGAACAAGACGCCATGCCGGCCACCGACAAAGTAGGAAAAGAATCTTTCGAATCTCGCACTAGCGTCCGCAAGAAAAAAGTGAAGAAGTCAGACGACGAAGACGAAAGAACCGATTCGTCAAATAGGATTAAAAAATCTCATTCCAAAGAAAAAGTCACAGAAGCCGAGCCCAAGTCTCCAGTGCAGCGTCGTCCCGTTAAAAAGCGACCCAGAACACCAACAACGGAGAATGAAAAACCCGACGAACTTAAAGAAGATATTTACCAAAATGTGATCAGAGATATTTCCCAAGTTGAGATAGAACAAACCGCGTTTAAACCAAAGCCTGTGATATCCGGTTCCGCAGAAATTGGACAAACGCAGACTGCTCTCAAAGCTATTGTCGACGACGTAGAAGTACAGGAAGCAGCTAAACCTAAAAGGGAAAAGAAGTTTAGATTCAACGTGATAGTAGAAGTTGAAGACGAAGAAAACTATGATAGGTCATCTATCACGCCGGAAGAAATCAAGGCAAAATCTCAACCAAAAGTACCTAAAGTCTTCCCAGGTAAAATTACTCTTACAGACAACCACAAAGGTATTGTACAACATCCTAAACCCAAAGAACGTGTTGTGTCAAGCATTTTGAAGAAAAGGTCGCCGGTACACAAGGGAAAAGTAATTGAAGAGAAGGTTAAAAAGGCAGTGGAGGAATCACCGATTTTAAGTGATGATAAAATAAACAGTCCATCACCAACAACTTCAGTAGTTAATGAAAATAATTTCTTCAATCAAATTTTAGAGAAAAAAGAAAACGTGTCCGATTCTGCTGTTGATGCTCTTAGCAAGAGGAACTTCTTTAGCAGAGAAAATTCTCAAAAAGAAGATTCTCGACCATCCTCACCTGGCTTCTTTAGTAACAAGAACAAGGATTTGGACAATTCCTCTGTACCTTCTTCACCACTTTCCAGTAAGAAGAACCTCTTTAGCAGAGAAAATTCTAACAAACAAGATTCTGGGCCTTCCTCGCCTGGTTTCTTCAAAGACTTGGACAAGTCCTCTGCACCCTCTTCGCCACTTGCTAGTAAGAACAATTTTAGCAGAGAAAATTCTAATAAACAGGATTCTCGTCCTTCATCACCTGGTTTCTTCAGCAACAAGAACAAGTCCTCCGCTCCTTCTTCGCCATTTGCTAGTAAGAAGAACCTTTTCAGCAGAGAGAACTCTGGAAAAGAAGATTCTCGACCATCTTCTCCTGGTATATTTAGTAGTAAGAGTAACGATCTACACAATTCATCTGCACCTGGTTCACCTTTTGGCAGTAAGAGTAACTTGTTTAATGGAGATACCTGTCGACCTTCTTCACCAGGTGTACTCGCTAAGGTTAAGAGTTTGGATAATGTTCCTGCACCTCTTTCGCCTCTTGCCAGTAAAAGAAATATTTTCAGCAGAGACAATTCTAAAAATGACGAAACCTCGACTTCTACACCTGGTACATCTAAAAATAAAAGCTTGGATAATATTTCCGCACCGTCTTCGCCATTCGCTAATAAAATCAATCTCTTTAACAGAAATAGTTCTAAGACGGAGGATGCCCCACCTTCCTCACCTAGCACCCTTCTGAATAAAAGTAAAAATGTGGACAGTGTTCCCACTCCTGCTTCGCCATTGGTCAGTAAGAGTGATAATTATAACCAAGAAGACACCCCACCATCTTTCCCACTCTTTAAAGAAGAGAAGTCTAGTACCCCTCCCACTACTGTACTAAAAAAATCCAAGGATACAGAAAGTAAAGCGGATAAAGATGAGGTTCCTCAGACCATTTCACTTAGTCAGGACATTTCATCACAAGAGAAGGATATCAGTAAAGAAAAAGACAGTATAGTCTCTCCAATAACTGAAATAGTGTCAAAGGAGGTCGAAGCCATGATCGACAATTTAAAAGACGCATCGAAGAAGCTCGATGAAGCGGAGATTAACAAGGACGAAAACGATAACAATGTCCTGATTGAAAAAGAAAGTCCAGACACCAAAGAAGAGCCCGAAGTGGTCAAAAAGCTCGTCTCGAAACGGTCATTGGTGCAAAAGGCAAACAAAGACGATCCAGACCTGGAGGTGTTCGTTCCCCCAGAGCCAGAACCGGAGCCGGAACCCGAACCGGTGGAGGAAAAGAAAGATGTGTTTGTCCCCCTGCAATCCAACCGCTTGTCCCAGTGGATGCACCCGTGGAAAAAACCCGAGCAGTTCGACGTCTGTCCCGTCGAAATTTTCGCACGCCCCAAGGTCATCCGCGGTCGGCATTACCCGCGTCCTCGCGGCCAGCCCGCTCCCGCGCCTCAGGAGAGCAGCAGCGAGGAGGATGACGACGACGAGGAGGAGGAAGAATCCGAAGAGGAGACCTCCAGCGAGGACGAGACGTCCGAGGATGAGGGCGAGGAGAATATGGCTACCAAAGTAGGAGCAAGTACGTCCTCAAATGATTCGGGCTTTGGGTCGGGAGCTCCCGGCAAAAATAAGGGTTAGATTTTCATTTTAACCTTTATTCAGGTTTTTTGTTGACTAACCGTAGGCGTAGGTTGTAGAGCGTTTTCATTTGTTTCTAACTAGGTGTGCTTTTGTCCATTCAGTATTAATTAAAGCAGGGTGTCCCGAGTTGTATAAAGCAAATTTTGTATCTGATGTGATTAGTGATGTTAAATTACTTGCAATTTATGAAAATGTAATTTTACTGGTAACATTTCATGTAATTTACAAATTAGCTTGTAATTTATGTAATTTATGACATTTACATTTTACGACATTTTAAAGTGTACTCAGCTTGTTTAGCTTCTCAGTATTCAGCTTCTATAAAATGATTAAAAAATAATATTTGTCGATTTTTATGCAAAAAATTAAAATTTTTATTCATATAAGTAGGTAACATTCATATAAGTGCAGCAGTAAAAATAAAATAAATCAAATCTAAATACAAATATTTAGGTTTCTATTTAAAACAGCTTTCGTTTCTTTAAGCATTTGTTTTTCTGGGACATAGGCCTTTTTTGGTAGAATGTATTACAATTAGCAGTTTTTAATTCTTCGTCGTTTATTTCTGTTTCCTTTTCTACCTCTTTCGTTCTATCTATTTCTATCAGTTCGGTCTTTGCATGGTCAACTAAATTGTAGTCAAAATTATGAACGAAAAATGCAACAACGAAAAACAAACTTTTTCAAGTGAAATATTTTGTATAACAATAACAGGCCTTTTTTCATTACATTTTGCCTCAAATTCTTCATTTCTTTCAGTTAATACCTTATTCTTATAGCTGTTGACTACATTGACAATTTATTGATGAATTAATTCGTCGCTTCATCAAGAAATTGGACAAGTGTAATGCTTGGTGCATTACACTTGTCGAATTTCTTGTCTACTGTCAAATAACTTCATGAATTTATCCATCAAGTTCTTGACGAATTAGAACATGCTCTAATTTTCGTCAATTTCTTCGTGAAGTTGAGGAGTACCAACCCAACAGATTTCCTGCCTCAGATCAGTAATGAGGTTATGATATTGGAATATGTAAATAATTGTGTAGCGTCGTACTAGTTTTGCATTGTTTTTACTGATTTGTTACTTACAAAAACTAATATTTATATGATATGTGTCAAAACGTTACCGCTGTTGTGTCACTACAATTATGAGTGGAAAGGTGACATTTTTGAAGTTTATTTGCTTCTTTGATTTGTTGGTAGAACTGATTTATGCGTCAAAAAACTTGACAAAGTCTGTAGCAGTGTAAAACCACACTGTTTACCAATAAATTCGTGATTTAATTCATGAAGAATTTCGTTAATTTATTCATGAATAAATTGTCAATGTAAAACAGCTATTAGAGCTTGTATAATCATGGTCCTCATCCTCACTATCACCATTATACTCTTCAGAATGAATGCTAATATTGCTAAAATAAAAGAAAGGTTATAAAACCTTAAATGTCAAAATTGAAATTGGCGCGATATTTAAAATTAAGTGTAAATTAACATTAATTACAGTAAATTACGTAATTTACTAAGTTACAAAAATTACATAAAATACATCCGTTATCTGGCGGTGCGTAATATTACGGTAATTTTACAGTAATTTATGTAAGTAACAATTTGTCATTTTACCATTTACATCACTAGGTGTGATAGAACTCCCGAAAACGAGAAACAAGTTTCTATAAATATGATCGGGAAATATTTTGTTTCGGAAGTTTAGTCGAAGTTGAGATTCCCGACATTTTTTTAAATTTAATGTATTTAAATCGATTAAATATGAACATGAAAATTTACATTATTATAAAATTGTAACTATGATTGTGTCTTAGGCAGGATAAAAAGTGAATACTTGTTCAGAAAACCGTTTTTAGTCCAGGAAAATAAGGAAAAAATGGGCGAATGTTTTTACTGTGAGATTTTTTTATAGAAAAGTGTAGGTTTTGAGGTCAGAAACCATGTGTCATACACGCAACCACCGGCAACATACGGCGTTTTGAGATACAGACATATACAGGGTGTATCTAAATAACACCGAAAAAATGTAAGGGGCGAAGTTTTTTCGAAAAGTTAAGGATTTATGAGAAAAAATAAATGTATTTCAATGCATTTTTAAAAAGACGAGCTGTTCAACGCGAGTGTATTTTGCCGAAAATGTCATAGGGGTTGTTAAATAATTATTGTTTAAACAATTTTATAATATTTAAACAAACTTACTAGTATTACCTGGTGCAACATGCAAAAATTTTGGTCATGAATATTAAGATGGTAAATAAATAAACATAATAAATTAATCATTTTTTAAAGTAACTGTTTATCGGCATGTCAAAAGTCCAATAAATAATAAAAGGGAGTTGAAAATATGATAATTGAATTTTTTAAGTTGCGATACATTGATTTAAAAAAAATCATCGAAATTGGTAAATTAGAAGCTGAGATAATTGAAATTTTTCCGAGCGTCGCAGTTTTGAACTCGAGAATTCAGATCGGAGTCTCTGTGTGTTTGCTCCCCCCACCACTGATATTTCATTGATTTCACGCGGTATTGTATATCTAATCGGAATGACAAACCTATTAGTTCAAAAAACAGCCCTTATAGTTTTGCTGTAAATAAGGGTTAACTTTAACGGGCTATAACTCCGAAAATAATGGGCGGATCATCGTTTTTTTTTTAAATACTCGTCTTTCCGAGTACTTTCAAACCATATTTTAAAATAAAACAAAAAAATTAAAAACCATTAAATTATTGCAATTGTTTATAAGCGGGAAAATTGCGCAAATGTTTCAACCAATCACCACGGCTTACCTAATCGTCCGATTTAAATTTTTCAAAAAGCATTTTAAAGCTTGAGAGCTCTTCTTTTTGTGGTGAAATTTTCAAGTATTCATAAGCTTTCGATTTTTAGAAATTTGATTTTGAAAATTTGTTAATTAAAAAAAAATTAAACAATTATTGTGTAAAAACTATTGAACCGAATTGGATGAAATTTGGTGTGATGATTTTATACACTAAGAAGTTTAATTGGGAAAAGTTTGAAGATCCTAGGTATTATTCAAGTGTCTAAAAAAAATTGACAAATAAACTAGCTTTTTTGCAATTTTTTAAATGATTTTTCCGATTTTTTCAACAAAAATAATTATTTTTTCGAATTGCAACTAATCTTCAAAATTTTATTATAGAACTTTTTTCCTCTTCCATTTTTGTCTAAAATGAATAGTTGCTAAGTTGTCGACGAGAAATCCAAGAAAAAAATGAATTTTTTTGCTATTTCTTTTATACTTTTTTGCAATAACAATTAAGCCCACGTTTTTTTTATTTGCATAGAAAAATGATCATTTCTGATGTTATTTAGAAGCCGTTAAAGCAAAAATCTCCTATCATATGCGTTTTACTGAACCTGAAACAGATACCGCCTAGACTATTGATTATTTCAACCCCTTACAAAAATACTTCAGGGTTGAAAAAAATTTAAAAAGTGTAGCTTTTTTGACAGATACTGTTCACCAAGTTTGGTTTCTTTAACTTGCTTTGGAATATAAAAAAGAAAAAAATTTTTTTTTTAATTTTTCAAGGGGAGTTTTTTCAAAAAATTTTATACCAAAGATCTCTATTAATTTTCATCAAAGAATAGCCCCTTCCAAATAAGTTTCAAATATAAGTTGTCCAAAATTATATTTTCTACAAAATTACTCCTATGAAAAATTTCGATTTTCCCAATAGTTCTGTATTCTCATATATTTTTTGTAGTACCTACAGATTATGTGGGAATAAATGTTTTGGAGACAAATAATGGTCAATTAATTTTTAACTAACGAAAGTGAACTAGAGAAAAGAAAATTGCGGAAAATTCTTGGAAAATCTTATAAGTACAATTTTCCGAGGTTTGAATATTTATGAGCATCAGCATCAAACGTATCATTTTGTAGGTTTTCTAGGGTGTACATTACGAATTGATTATGCGCTTTTTAATATTTCCCAGAAAAATCTGTTTTCTTTGAATTTTTTTTGCGACAGCAGCAGTTTTACCTAATAAACCTAGATATGAAAGTCCATAATAAAATCGTTAAAAATAATAAATAAAAAAAAGTTTTTTTAATTATAAATAAATTAAAAAAGATTATATTGGTATAGGTAATATTTTTTTATTATACCTTTGCAGCCCCAGAAAATTCCTTTCCTATTGTCATCAAATTTTAATTTCCAAATTTCAAAGAAAATAGATTTTTCTGGAAAATACTAAAAAGCTCATAATTAATTTGTAATGAACACCCTCGAAAACCTATAAAATGATACGTTTGATGCTCATGAATATTCAATCCTCGGAAAACTATATAAAATATTCCAAGAATTTACCGCAATTTTCTTTTCTCTAACTCACTTTTGTTATTTAAGAATGAATGGACCATTATTTTCGCTCTAAATCATTAATTTCAACATAGTCTGTACTGCATTTTAAAAATATACGGGAAAACTATTGGGAAAATGTAAATTGTCATAGGGGCAGTTTTGTAGGAAATTTAATTTTGAACCACTTTTATTTGAAATTTTTTTCGAAAAAATACATTCTCACTACGATATTGCCAGTTTTTTGGTCAAAAACGCGAAAAGTCATATAGTATATGACCTCAAAACTAAAATTTTTCGATAAAAAAATCTCATGGTAAGAAAAATCGCTTATTCCGTCTTTTTATGTATAACTTTCCTAGACTATTACAGAAGATTTAATCTCAACATCTCGCTTGTCGTAAATTAAGCATTGTTTATGAGTTTTTTTGTAATTTTGAATGTTCTGTTACCAGACAAAGTTTGGCTTATGCAATTCGACACACCCTGTGCAATGTTAGGGTAATATGAGCTAAATAAAACTTATTACCTATATATATACGGGCTAGACAGACATATGCTAAAAATAAATAACTATATAAATAGGTTCAACATATAAATATACTTTTTTGTATTAAAAAAAAAACATATTTTATTATTAGCACTCGCATTTTTTT